TCTTTCCCTCCCTTTCCCTCCGTTTCACCATCCCTCTCTCGCTCTGTTCTCTCTCTCCCTGTGTCCCTTCTCTTACTCTCTCTGCCTCACAAGCTGGCTAACATGGGAGCAGTAGGGTGAGCCTGGTATCTGAATAGGCTATAGAGTGTCCTGAGATAGGAACGGTAGGAAGGAAGAGGTTTCCCGCGGGACCAAGGCCGAGATAGTCTTCAGGAGGACATCTTGTGCTCAGGGGTGCTCAACCTCCGGTTTTCGATACAACATCGTCTCAGAGCTTTCATCCTTATTCGGAGGATATGTGTTACACGTAGGTGACAGGCAAAGCCTACTGGGCTTGCACGTAACTATTTTTCTACACCTCGCAGTCCTCTCGAGTCCGCACCTCCTGGATTTAAGTGCAATGTTCTGCCATAGGCGTTATTTATAGTTCTTGAGAAAATGGATTTTATACTTATTCGCGCACTCGAAGAAACTGGTATCATGGAGTTTTATCTGATATTGGAAATTGCAGGGGGAAGTGATCTCTTTATAGCAACGTATTGACACTGGGACAAGTTTCGCCGATTTATTGGCTAGTAAATTCGCAGGTGCAGTAACTGTTTCGAATAATGCTTTTAATCTCATTATTGTCGTTTAACGTTAACGGGGAACGATTCCGGTTATTTTCGGGTATGCAATAGTTTTCATTGCCTTTATATGACGTTTCTTTATCGTCTAAGTTTTATAATATACTTGAATCGAGACATTTTTAACCATCATCGAGGTGAAAGATAGATACCACGAAAAAGGTTAGAATATTCGTGATTTTTGGATTAGCATTATTGTAATAGCATGATCACAGTTTGGTATGAAGAGATACAGATTTAATAGCGAAATACAATTGTGTTCTGGAACAGCTCGTATGGGATCCATTTTGCTTCCTCTTAAATTTTCCTAATCTTGTGTGATACATAAACTACAAAATTCTATTTGATATTTAGCCTTTCCACAAGTTGCACACTCGATTGAGTTAAATCCTTTTGGAACAGATTTTTCAAAATAATTAGAATTTATTTTCTATCGTTGTTAGAAGGTTTTCATTCCCCAAATCGAAATTGTTAACCTTCCGTCGGACCTCTAAAATCCAAGCATGATTTTTGAGTGTTGTAGGCATCACAAAAATCTGAGAAAATTCTGAGGTGCTTATGAAGGTCTCTATTTTTATATGAGTACTTTGACACTGAAGTGAAATATTTTTAACGACGCAAATAGTATTTTTAGGAGAAGGAAGATGTAAAAATATTCACCTAAATCTCAGTTAGTTGTTATGTCGACAGATGATTAATATTAAATCGTTTGACACAAAAACGTTGATATTGTACACTTGGTAATTGATTTTTATTTAACAACTGTCTTCTGTTGATTAAACAAAGCCTAATTTAATTATTTTCAAGCTGAGTGAAGAAATTAATTCGTTTATTACGCGTTCCTTGTCTATGGTTTTTATATAAGTTTAATAATAATATAAAACAGTTAAAAGCTTACTATGGAAAGCTTATAATAATAGATAAAATACATAGTAACTTAATTTTTGTATATAAATGAAGTATACTATGTGGGACTTAAAGGTGTCTTCGTTATTCGCAATTTTATGACAAAAATTCGTAACACGATGATATATTATTTAAATAGGATAATTTTTCTTCGAAATTATTTCTTTAACGAATTTCCAAAACTACTGATATTTTCTAAAACAAGATCGTATATCCTTTCTTGTATATTTTCACGAGTTTACCATTTTTATCATTTAATCGTAACAAAATATATCAAATACACTTAACATCATTCTCACAAAGAAAATTAGGGTAAAATCATAAATTAGGGTACTTAGAAAAATACGAAAATAACACATTATGCATATGCAAGGAGTAAACTTACCTAATAAAATAAATAAAAATAAAGTCTCGCAAATCTCATAAATTTAACAAAGGTACATTATAAATATATATATACTAGAAAAGAGTATATATATTCCCGAAGATCACAGAAATTTTATATCGCGTTAAGTCGAAACTGGTGGTTAGGGTGATTATGTTACCGTGTTAGTTGTACCATAATAAATTTCCATTGGTACAGGACCTGTCCGTCGGAGGCATTAAAAAAATTAATCTCGAAAATGTTGGCTCGATACACGGCACGCACGCACCTAAGTAACATCGTATAAACCGCGATATAATGTAAATGCAACCACGTTGCGGTCGCGTGTCACATCGAGCGCCACCCTAAACTACGTCTCTTAGCTAGGTTTGTGGTAGATCGTGCCGGGCGTAGAGTAAATGAACGATCCACGGAATTAGAAGATTCAGTTAGCATGCGCATTATGTTTATCATGTATTTGCCATAGTGCTCGTGACGCTTAAATAAAGATCCAGAACCAAGATCCGAAATCAATGCTCGCGAGCTTCAATGTCAAATCTCTTCGCGTCTAAAATGATTACGTATAATTCGCGTAATTAATGTAATTAACGTGAGTAATAGGAACGGGTATGAAGATCGCTTCCTGTCGAATAAAGTATTTACGCGCGGTGATTAATAGTTTTTGCGTTGGCAATTAGTGCACTGGATATTTAGCTAGGCTGATATCAGTGCGCTTTATCGTATTGATTTTTTCGCTGGATTAGGTATTTAATTAGAAAGAATGCCGAGTCACTGAGGTTTTGAACTTATTGCGATGAAAAGAGATCGCAATGGAGTTATCATTGACCATTGAAATAAACTTGCAATCTATGAGACCCATAATTGAAAATAATTCAATAAAATAAATAAAAGCCGTTGAATATATTTAATGGCTTGGTATATAATTTTAACGATAGCATTATTTTCTATTAAATATCTATGGCTTTTATAGGTACAGGTTAGTTTCTATTTAAGCATGTAATTTTAGTAAAAGGATTTCTAACGTCAAAAATCTTGGTTTTGGAAATTGTCAAGTTCATTTTTGGAAATTAATAATTTATATTGCTCCGTTTTGCAGTTTAGAATATTGGTAAAAGATATGTAAAACGAGAAACGTTTACATACCAATGAACACCTGTAAATTAAAAGAAAAATAACGAACCCCTAATTCGAAAAATGCAAAACCTTCAATAGGGTTAATTAATGGGAAACAAGTTATAATTAAAAAATGGAAAGAAAATAATTTATATTAATTGTGGAAATGAAAATCTAGAATTTTTACTAATAAATATCCTACCAAATAATTAACGTAATAGTAAATAATATATTTAGTGTATAATAAATATGAAAATAAATAGTAGGAAATGGATATAATAGTAAATAATAAATATAAAAATAAATAGTGAATAACAGGTATAATAGCAAATAGTAAACAATAAATATATTAATAAGTAGTAAATAGTAAATATTATAATAGTTTAATAGTTACTAATAAATATCCTAATTTACTAATAAATATCCTACCAAATAATAAACATAATAGTAAATAATATATACATTTAGGGAATAACAAATATGTAAATTAATAGTGAGTATTGGATATAATAGTAAATAATAAATATAAAAATAAATAGTGAATATTGGGTATAATAGTAAATAGTAAACAATAAATATATTAATAAGTAGTAAGTAGTAAATATTATAATAGTTTAATAGCTACTAATAAATATCCTAATTTACTAATAAATATCCTACCAAATAATAAACATAATAGTAAATAATATATACATTTAGTGAATAACAAATATGAAAATAAATACTGAGTAATAGATATAATAATAAATAATAAATACAAAAATAAATAGTGAATAATGGATATAATAGTAAATATTACAATAACTTCATAGTATAGTAAATAGAATAATGAATAATACTATAACAAATAATAACTATCGTGCTTAATGATAAATTTCTAAAGTTAAATGATTTATTTTACAGAAATACTAAATGATTCGTTAAATAGAAAGTTTTCATACAATTTCCAAATAAAGAGATTTACGTGGAATTAAATTTTGTAAAATTTATAAACCAGCAGCTATAGAATTAAACCTGTGCAGTGACTTTCCGCGTTTGTTAGTATTAAAATTAGTTTCTATTCTACATGGTACCGCAGCGTGTAGTGGAAAATATGTGTATATACGTTGGTAGGCTAATAGATTTTCGGTCTCGAACAAAACCGCAATGGAGAGCGCGAGGGCCCGATCGAGAGAACGAGCGAAGGGTATCAATGCCACTTTGATTGAGGCGGCCCTGGCCGATTGTGACATGCTCACTCAGCTGTGCAGAAAGTACAACGCAGCCCCCATCAATCGTGTATATCTGACTAAAAAAAAAGAACAAAAAACAAAAGCGGTTCCTATATCGAAGCGTGGCCATTTTT